ACCAACAAATATCTCATAGATGCTTGCGCGAAGTTTGAGATCAGATGTCCTCCACCTCTAACAACAACTAGATTACTTGATAAAGTAAATTTTCTTTCAGATATCTTCCGGATAGCCAATTTTTACATATGCAATCTAGTAACTTGCTTTTCCTGCTGATCCCCTTTTCTTTTGTATTGTCGCGCACTACCCTCTAGCGATATTGCAATGTTTGAGAAATTTTTTCAGTTTCTGGGCTTTGTGTTCTTCTGTTCTCTCCATGAGCAGTACTACATGAGGCAACAAAAAGGCTACTGTAAAGAGGAGGGTGGAGGGTAATAGGCAAATGTGAGAAAATAAAGAGGAAAGAAATAGAGATGAATAGGGTTGCTAGCGTTTTAGAGCTATATTAGTGTGAAATCTGTAGTTTGTGTGGCATTTGATCTATAACATGTGTTATTGCCAATAAATCTCATTGTTGATTGTTAAATTGGTTTAGAATCAATTGCTGTTTGTCTGCTTTTCGGCATGTAACATTATAAAATTGTTTAATGTTTGGTCCCATTTCTGCATTTATTGGTGATACCTCTTCAAAAAAACATGTACTAACAGGAATCAAGTGTTCTCATTCCTTTGGTGCTATTGGTAACAGTTTTTTGCCTAAGCAGCTTTATGACGTCGGAACTAAGTCTCCCTTCATTTTCTGTGAATTTAGCTTGTGGGACACTTTCTGGAGGAGACATGTGTTAACCCTACTTTCATTATCAACCATCCAGAGATAATGAGTCCTTTGGCAAAGTGGCACAGATCGAAACCAGGCCTGACAGAACGTTTTGAACTGTTTATAAACAAACATGAAGTATGCATTCTTTCAAATCTTTCAAAGTTCAAACTCTATATTACCATCCCAACACATGTTGTAATGTGCTTCTCTGTTAAATAACTTGACAGCTCTGTAATGCATACACCGAGTTGAATGACCCTGTTGTCCAACGCCAGCGCTTTGCTGATCAACTCAAGGTATTTGTGGGAAGTGTGCAACTTGACTTGGTGGTTGTTTGTGTTCATCTTGTTGTATCATTTCGATTATGTGCAACTACTTATTTAGGCATAATTAATGTCAATTCAGGACCGACAATCAGGTGATGATGAAGCTATGGCACTGGATGAGAACTTTTGCACCGCTCTTGAATATGGATTACCTCCTACTGGTGGTTGGGGATTGGGTATTGACCGACTTGCAATGTTGTTGACAGATTCACAAAACATTAAGGTTTGTGCCTTCACTTATTTAGTGAGGAAGAAATGACCACTTAGTTCCAAATGGCCGAGGGAATGGCCTGTTGTCTTCCTGATTCTTACATTATCTTCATCAATCTTCACCTCATTAGATAGCTTTTGAGGTTAATTTAGGCATTTTCTTAGCATGGTATTAGAGCCAGAGCAAAACTAATCCATGTTCTTGGTTTATCCAATGTTGAGCAATCATGTTGTATTGTCCGTGTTCCAGATGTTTCAACTCCTATGCATCTGGGTTAGTTACCATATCTTACATTTTTTTTTTTAAAAAAAATGGAATGCTGAGTTATACAATTTTAGCAAATTCTTACCTCATGATCTAGCTTTTGGGTTTTTTGTTAGACTCGAGGTTCTTTTATTTTAACTATGATGAAATGACCATTCATTTCCAATCAATTTCTCTGTTGTCCTGTTTGGCATCCATTTCTAAATGGTGGATGGAGGAGGGCATTCATAGAAGAGCCCACAAAGGCTGGTCTTCTACGAATTTAGTGTTGTCTCAGCATTCCCAACTCTCATTTTCTTGTCACTTCCTTTATGAGAAAGCTAGTGTTTCGTATTATTTTAGTTAGATACTGAAATCGATTTTTCTTTCCCTTGTTATACTTTTTTTCTACAGGAAGTTCTTCTCTTTCCAGCCATGAAGCCACAGGATGAGCCAACTTCCAAGGAAAGGTAAAGATTTCCTCCTTTCTTTTCTTTGAGTGATATACACCGTTAGTAGTGTTTGCTGTCAGATGGTTAGGATTAAGGTTTGTCTTGGATTGTGCTGACAGCCAGCTGACTGATTTAGCTGTCCCAAAAAAGGGGGAAAACTAGCGAACTGATTGATCTTCAAATTAATATCTAGTCTTTGTGGGTAGAGTTTGTACTTGGCATCCAAGGGTGTAGCCTAGTGGAAATTTGAAGTGGGTTGACAACCATGTGGTCTCAGCTTCAATTCCCAGAGGAGACCAAAAAAACTAGGTGTTTTTTTTCATCTATCCGGATCTTGATGGATAGGGTCACTTAGTACTTGTGCAATGGCAGAAGTCGGGAAACAGACTATTGCACAACGACTAGGACTCGTGTCGGAAGAGCTTGGAGGTAGCAGTTAATTAGTTGTGGTGCACGCACACTGGCTGGGCACCACAGTTATAAAAAGAGTTACTTTGTACTTGTACTGATGGAGGGATGTATGTCCTCGGTGGAATAGTTGATGAGCATCAAAGCTGCCCTAGACACTACTATCATAAAATAGTAAATAATGTCCATGATAATAAATATTGACTAAGCAGTGGCCTATTTTTGGGGGATATTTTTTAAAACAGTTTACTATGTTCTTCGGTGGGGTTAATCTTGGTTTCTGCTTAGCTGTAGGAAACACATATATTTGCTTGTAAATATGATTTTACGATGTTATCTTTTACCTTAAGATTAAGCTGCCAGTGAGGCCTATGTTTAAACTCTCATACATATTTTTTAAAATTATATTGTGAAGTTGAATCCTTATTTAGCGGAATAATATTGAAAACCAATAAAGAGGAATAGGTGATGCTGCTTTGCTAGCTGAATTGTGATTAGTAGCACATGTTTTGAAAGAAGCTTGAGAATATTTCTTAAAAGAGTGGGTTACATGATTTGCATTGTTAACTGGGAAGGGATTAGTGGAAAATTTTACGTCTTTTACATGGAATAAATTGGATAATGCCCAGAATTGTGGTTGGGTGTTTGCTTGGCCTGGAGTGAGAGCTGTATAAGAAAAGCCTATAAAAATCCAAAGTGCCCGTGCCCCGTGTTGCGCAGTTCAGAGTACCTGTTTCTTCTTTGCAGCACGATTCAAGCTACAAAATCCTTTATTTCCTTATATAATACTGGATGATTGGGAAAGAACAAAATAGGTGGTATTTTGCAGGGGTTGCTTTTTCAAGACATAGTCTAAGTTAACTTGCTGTTACCTTGTTTTTTTAAAAAAGTTAAAAGTCTGTTACCTTGGTATTCTTGGTGGAAAGTAGAATAAACATGAACTTAAGACGGATTTCACAGGGTTTTCTAAGTCTGTTGCATCTGTGGAAAAGGATATTGTTTTCGTCATTCTACGGTCTAAAAAGCAGATGCTGCAAAAATGAAAGCTTTCATGTGCTTTTCCTTTCAAGCTATTTGAGAAAATACATCACACTTATCATTGAGCTCTCTTTTCTGCATTCAGCAATAAAAAACCTCAGGAGGAAGCCAAGCCTCAGGATGGACAAGCCAAACCTCAGGATGAACTTACAATGAAAGGTAGATAAATCTGGAAGATATGCCTGACCTTTTATTTTCTTCTACTGTCCGAGCATTTTCATTTTTGCCTCTGTTTGTAAACAAAGCTTAGTTCTATTGATATTTGTCTTTGGGGGAGAACTGCCTCTTACTTGTTTTTACATTGCTACAGATGTGGAAAAGCAGATTTCCGACATCAAAATGAACTGAATCAGATCATAGATATATTGACGCGGAGTTCCTGCTGCTCCAGGAGTACCATTTTTGTTATACCTTTTTTTTCTTTTACTATTTGATTAATGGTAATTGTCTATTGTAATGGCAAATGCTGTCTTTAATTCGTTAGTATCAGAAACTTTACTCGTATACTTATGAATATGGTTGTATTTGTCAAAATACTTTTAGATGTATTCATGATTATGCTCTCTATTCCTTCCATGTCTTCTTTTATTCCATTTGTTCTTTGCTTATCCTCACTGATGAGAGAGGAAGTTAAGCATACTGCTACTGTAATTTCTAACATGAAAAATCAACTCTGAAGAAAAATTACGTTATAGTGAAATATAATTATAAATTTTATAGTGGATGCTTGTCAAACCAATGTTTGGTTGTAGCATTATCTCAACTGTACATTTATATGCCATTTCTCGTATTAGCTGTCTATTTTCTCTTTTACACATCCTGGAATAGGATGGGTAATTTAGTAATTTATCCCTTATCCACTCCTATAAAAGAAAAACTTTTTGGAGCTTTATAAGCTTGTTTAGGTTCTCAAAAACAATAATTGTAGGGGTAAAATGGAGATTATTATTTAATTTTGTCTTGGTTTGGTAGACGGTCAACTAATTTGAGACAACTATTTATAGTTAGTTTGACAATTAATATGGGACGGAGTAGAGTGTTTATCTTTCTATTCGTTGTATTTTGATTTCAATTAAAAGAGTTGCGTGTTTATGATTAACACAACATTTATAAGTGGTTTAGTTAAGTTGTTACAAACCTTGGGAACAACTTTTTAGACAATTTAGTCTAAATTTTGTTTTCTTCTGCAAGTGGGTAACATATTTAGCCTGGTCTGCAGTTTGTGCAACTTTAATATTTTGTAGCATGCATAGGGAAGTGCTAGTAAGAGTGATAATTCTACTTCCCGCTCCAATACATACACAAAAGCACTATCGTCATTCAAGTGGAAGCAATTATACATCAAAAGCACAAAGTTTGATGAGAATAAATAGGGAAATCAAACTTATATTAGTATTGTCTTAATTAGAAACAGCATACATGGGTCATTTCACACACCAACTCCACATTACATATACATAGAACATGGCTTATACCAGAAAAAAGCAATAATACACAAGGTTCAATTCACAGAGGAACAGACCAGATTTCATCAAATACATTGAACATGGTTTTGCCTTATTTAAGTGATATTTCACAAGGGCAGCTAGAGATGGAAACTCATGAAATAATAACATGCGATGAACACCAGAGCTGGGCCGTGAAAACCCTAGGCGGGAACCATGGTACTGTGGGTGTTGAGACCATCAATCTCCTCCATGGGCTGTGGAGGTGTGACATCTAGATCCTCAGGAGAACCATCAGTGCCGTCCTCGTTCTCTTCAACACTGAGACTAATGGCTTCAAAGATGAGAGCAGTCACTTCTTGGAACCTTGCTTCAGAGAGTGAGACCTCTGCGAGAAGCCTCCATGCATTTGCCTCAGTTGCACCCTCATAATCCTCCTTCCTCTTCAAGACCATGTGTCCACTAATCTCCCAAACAGCAGGATTGACTTGGGTGTCGAGGAGTTCAGCGCTGACCTCTCCAAGCGCTTGTTTCTCCGCATAGCACTGTTCCAATCCACCAAAACACATGTAAGTTAGGAAAGTGATCAATTGTTGGGAACTGCTAATAATTAAGCAATCCCAAAGTAGTTGTAAAAATGTGGTTCAAAGAGTTATACCTGTGGGAGAAGGAATATCCTTTTCCCTGAATCAGAGATTAGGACATTGTAAGGGATGTTGTTCTCTTGCAGACAAATGCAAGAATCTGAGACAACATCGGCCAAATCCTCCAAAGTATTTCCACCCTCAAAGACAAGACCTCGAACTGGGTAATGCAGCATCTCCGATATCTTCACTCCAGCATCAGTGACAGTTATCTTCTGAGTTGGGGCCTTCTCAATGGGAAATTGCACAGCCAAGAAATAAGCCTGAAGAGCAAAAACAATGAAAGTGAGTTCCTTCTTCTTTATTAAGGTCTCAGCAGTCAGCACTAGAGCAAACAACTAGAACTGACAATTCCAAAACCATGTCAATTATGGGAAGTGTCGTGGACTCTACCTGGAAGTGAAGATGGTTGATGGTGGCAAATGCACCCAAGCTGTTGTAACCCAATCGGAAGTAAGGGTTTGCTGCTTCGGCAGCCATGTGCAGTGCAAGCAGGAAGCTGTCCCTGTCAATCCTCTGGGGAAGGCATTCAAGGACCTTAGGGATCAAAAGCACGTGTCCGTACTCAATGGGACTGACCTGTTGCATTGAAAACCAATAAACTCATTAATCACTGTCTCTACTTACCAAAAGGTTCCAGTATATGTGCAAAACTAACTAAGAACATACATTTATGGCAACGACACTTGGAGATTTCTCAGGATCAATTGGCGCATCTGGATAGAGCTGGACTTCATCTTCCTCACTTGCTTCAAACTGAAAGAGCAACTCTTCCTGTCCAACCTTAGTGAAGTTGAACTTGCTTCCATCAAAAGGCTGCAGAACCTTATCAACTCGAAACTCAGTTGGCCGCTTCTTGAGGTGCCTTCCCTCATTCAGTTGAGCAACGAAACCATATTCTCCAGGAATCACCTATAACCATTTATTTTAAATCAAATTGCCGATTCACAAATGAAGTGTCCTTTCTTCACATCAATCAAAATCAGTAAGTCTCCAAAGCAACAACTTGAAAAGCAAGCGCTGAGCAATAGCACAACACTCATTTCAAATTTGCCACACACCGACAAAAAACGCTAGTTCAATTTAAACACTACATAACATCAATTTACTATGTAATAGTAAGACATAAAATGACTACATCTTCGTCAACCTTAGTCTCTTAAGGTAAGAATTGGTTCAACGCTATATATCACTTGCAGATCATAATCAATAACCAAGTTAACCTCCAAAAGACATTACCCTAGTTTCCGGAATTATAAGACCTTATACCGTTTCAAAATTTCCCTATTCACTTCCTGTGATTATAATCTTCCCTCCATCTATGTTTTACTCGTCTACTATACTAAAAACAATATGTCCACTTTTACTTGTCCAGTTTGACAAATCAAGAGATAATATTCCATTTTGTTATACCTGTTTACCCTTTAAGTACTTTGTAAGGGATGTGCTGAGTCAAACAAGGACGGAGAGATTATTATCTTTTGCAACTTCTAATAGTCCCCTAGATAGATTTTGCCAAGACAGCCTTTCTAAACCAAGTCTATCTAACTGGTAATAACTAAAGCAGAACGTGTAGGCATCAAATACAGTAACCACAAACCAGAAGAGAGAAGAAAAAAATACCTTGGTTTCGCAAGCAGTGACATCATAGCGAAAGAGGCCTTTCTGCTGACGATCCTCCCACTGCACATCAAAATTGACCAAAAAAGTGAGTAATCAAATCAAAATATCTCAAGATTGGCAATTTTAAAATAACAAAACAGTAACCAAAATAAGAAGCTTCGCACTTACTTCCCCAAGAACAAGGGATTCCAGAAAGTCGATCGGAGATTCCTTTGTTTCATCGGCGACAGACTTGCCGTAGCTCAAATTTTTGAAACCATACAGTGGCAGCTTTGAACCTTCAACAGTACAAACACATAACAACAAAATCAATATTCTGCTAAATCAGCTTTAGATGAACAAACAATTGGGAAAAGGGAGTATACAGTACCTGGAAGGCAGCAATTCCTGAGGCAATTCCGGCCACAACCAGCACCACGAGCAGCAATTTCATCAGCCTCATCCTTTTGAAAGTTAGAAACAAGCGTAGGAACCCTCTTAATTTTGAGCATCATCTTTACTTCTTTTTGTGTGTTTTCTTCGAATAATCAATAGAATACTAGATACAACTGTACGTAATAAGCTAGAGATCTATAGTAAGTATAACTATATCTAGTAGGAGAAGGAGAGGAAAGAACCGCCGCCGGCAAGGAAGAGGAGGTCGGAAGGACTACCACCTTCAGAAGGCAAAGCGCCACGTCCACCGTGCGGCGCAGGGTTAGTAGCTGTTACACAACCCTTACGACGTACTGCTGGAACATGTAAAAGTGGTCGGCGGTTTACTTTGTGTATAGCCGTGATGTCTACAACTTGTTAAACTGGGCTTTACCCTCAAAACTGCAAAATACAATAACCCCTTTTCCTCTTAAACCCAACACTAAAATTCCAAGATTCTTGTGATGGGGTCTCTGTTTTTGTTGATAGATTGCTACTATCGAAGAAAAAAAAGAAGAAATTTGGTGGTTGTTGTTGATAATAAGGGAGTAGAGCAGAGAGATGTGGGTATTTATATAGAAAATTGTAGAAGGGATAATGGAGGATTGGAAAATTGTGGCTGTGGGTTTGCCAATGGGGTAGAGTAAGATAATGGCGCTTTGCTACTGTATGTGAACCGATACAAATGGAGTCTCTGGAAGATGTAAAACGGGGCTACAAGGCCAATCGCAAACAGGGGGTTACAGTATACCGAACAAATAAAGATAACATATAATTATTTTATACAATTTTATAAGCGAAATTTGAACAGTAAATTTACTTTTGAGTACGATAAAGATAGTTCCTAGACATAACTTAAGTTGAGCAGTAAGTCGCTATAATATGTCTTTCGAGCGAGCACTTTTCGCATATTAAATTTATTTTATCATATAATAATTACAATCACAAAAAATAATATAAACTGCATTATTTGATAGGTTCGATTCAGGATAATATAATTGTATTGTGTGATAGTCTTAATTCAAAAGATATTGAGAAATTAAAATAACTTTTGAGATAATTAATATTATAAATAACATGAACCAAGACTAATTCATTTTATCTTAATTAAAATAATAAGTATTTTGAAATAACTTTAGAAAAAACAAAAATTAATATAAGACACAAGAACAATATCATATATTATTTTCTTCCTTCTTTTTTATTTTTATAATATTTTTAGAATCAAACAATAAAGTTTTAACTAATGTATTTTTTTTAATTATATTAATATATAAAGAACTATAATTTATAATTCTTTCTTGTATTGTGTTTTAATATTAAATTTTTAATTTAAAATATTAAATTAACTTTAAATAACAATTAAAAAGAAACTAAAGAAATAGCATACCAATTTTTTAATAAGATGGTGTCGATCAAAATTGAACGTTGATAAACAAAAATGTCCTTATTCGATTGGTACAATTTAAAATTATCCCAGAAATTATAAAAATAACATATGATCGCACATGTATTTAAAGGTTTTTACATTTACACATCTTCCAATACAAATATATAGTTCTACAAAATTGTTACCCCTTTATATATCAAGAGTGTTTTCTTCTCATTTGATATTCAGAGTCCACATTAAAATCTCGATTAAGTTAGAATCGCACATCTCAATGCTCATTCGAGGGTGACGCTCCCAACAGAAATTTCTCCATAATCAAGATACGAACCTAAAACTCTTTCGTCAGTAAACCATAACCCATCAATATACATATACATATAAATACGCCTATACAAAGAATTGTACATATTCAACTTTTAAAATACTTTCATTATATAGTAGCACACTACAACTTCCCATTATTTCAAGTGGTTGTGGTTTGTTAATGGGTAGAAGTTGAAGGACTAGTGGTCCTCTCTATGCCAATGTATTTGGTCCCAAATTTGGTGATATTCAAACAACGACATTATATTATTTTGTGCGGTCCTTGTTTTCTTTTCAATACTTTTTAATAAATTAAATAACGATCGCGAGTCATTTTTTATTCTGATTTTTCTTTTAATTCGAGTGGTTTAAAATTAATAGTTTGATTTTTCTTTTGTCATGGGTGGTTCGAGCTAAATGAGTAAAAGGGCGATCAAATTTTATTTTAATAAATAGATATCAAGGTTGCATGTAGGACTTTGCCTGTACGTGGATGTCACTATTTATCATATCAAAAAATAGAATTTTCATTTATTTTTAAGGCCCTCAAAAAATAGTATAAATTGTTGTCTTATATATACATAAATATAACCCAAATACATAGTATAAAAAATAAGAGAAAATTACGCGATTAAACAAAATTACACTACTTAATTATTCATTATAGTTATAGTTCGCGATAATTGTTACTCACGACTAACATTATACATTAATTACGTGGACTGACTTCGAATTTGTATAATTAGTCACATTTGTATATGTATAATTCACCAAAATATAAAAATACATATGTATAACATACAATTATCTAATCAATATACATATACAATTCACCTCTCTTCAACTCATTGCCCTCTCTCGCTTGCCTCTCTCCTTCCTCTCCCAATCTCGCTCGCTTCTCTTCTCTATCTCTCTCCCAATCTAGCTTGCTTTGTTATACAAATGCATATGTATAGTATACAATTGTCTAACCAATATACATATACAATTCACCTCTCTCCCATTCTATGTCCTCTCTCGCTCGCCTCTCTCCTCTATTTTTCAATCTCGCTTGTCATATATGCAAATACATATGTATAATATACAATTATCTAATCAATATACATATACAATTCACATCCCTCCCACTTTTTACCCTCTCTCTCGTCTCACTCCTTTTTATCTCCCAATCTCGTCATTAAGCTATTTTTAAGTGACTATACGTGAAAGTTTCACAAATAAATAAAGGATATTGTTAAATTATTTTTTTTATGTTTGAAATATTATTTTGCTCCTTCTAAAAATGACCCAAAAGGACCCGGAGGGTCAAGCTCGGGGTTTTAAGCGTCCGTACGATGATATATGTCCATTTGGTCACCATGATTTAGAACCACATATTTATTTATTTTATTTAAAAGAAAATTCATAGATTTAATTTTTATTTAATGTTTGATATTTATATTAAAGTTTGATAATTGGTTTAGGTAAAACTCTATTTGATAATAGTATTTTCATGCTCGAAGCTATAACTCAAAACTTTTTATTAAAGGAGAAATAATTTTATATTTTATAGTATGCACCTTATAATTCGCTGATATTTTCATAGATTTATCATGCATTATGGCCCTAAAAGCTAGACTTGTATATTGTTTGTATATAAAGAGTGACAAAATTTCGATGATGATGTTGGGGATAAATAAAAATCATTTTAGTTTTAATCTAGGTCATACAACTTTTATTATTAGTTGTAATTACAATGTTTTATTTATCGGCATATTTTCTTATAGAATTATCTTAATTTATTAGATTTAAATTAAAAAAATTCTAAAATAGTATTACTATCTCGATGCGCTCGGAGCAAATTCTATCTATATTCCATTCCCTTTAAATCTTCATCTATGAAATCATATAGAATATATTGTTATTGTAGTAGTTTAAACATGGTTTCAAACAAAAATAATAAAAATTTATACGATATTAATTAATCGTCAGTTGAAATTCAATCACCTTCCCGTATTTTAAAAATAATTACCAAAACTTGAAATTTATAAATTTTACTGCGATCTTAAATTATTATTATAATAATAATTAGATCTAAAGTCGAGTATTTATAGATATAGCTCTATAAATATATATCATATTTGATAGAATCTACCAATAGATAGTAATCTTTCTCGAATCAAAACTTTGCTTTTCCTTTGTTCTTCGATATTTTCTTATAAATCCTATTTCATTTTCAATTCAAAATATTATAAAATCCACATTAATTAAATACCACTAAGCAAGAAACAAAGTTAGTATTGAGATTTTTGTTGGATCAAGCTATATAAAAACATTGACAACAAAAAGACATTTAAATAACAGTAATTTTGCAATAAAATGATAATTTTCAAAAAAAAATTAAAAAGAAAGATTCATCTGACATTGAAGATAAGGTTTTCACATGAACACGTTCGATGGCCTAATTTCAAATTATATTTCATTTACGTACAATTATTTAATTCTATTTGTAAAGAGTCAAAATTATTGTCTTATGATTGTTGCCCTTCACCTACCTCGTCTAATTTGACGATCAAAATAATTATTTTAAATTAAATCGAATATTCAGAGGTGTTATTTAATAGTCGATGAAGATAACTATTTTTTTTATTCGTTTGAATCTTTATACATATGTGAAATTTTACTATAAAATATATAAACGAGATACATATAACATAATTGTAATATTGTAATTGTAACAATTAATTATATATTTAAGACATTATGCTTTAACACATGTCATGATCCCAACAACTATTAAGTGTGATTAAGTATTCATATTTAAAAGTGAATTGATGAGATTAGAACTCATTGTGACATGTAATTACAAATAAATATTTTATTAAATAGGAATTAATGAACTTCCAAGTGATGAAATGTAAACCCACGTTATTGGAAGAATTAATGCATATGCTAAATTTATGAAAAAGTCCACACCAACACCAACAATAATTAATATAAATATTTTAGCATAATACTTATATTATTTAATTTATAATCAGTCGTAAATCGTGGAGAATGATTTGAAAAAAGGAATAAATGAAATATTGAGGATAAAACAACAAGAAGTAAATGTTCTTTTCATACTAAATAAAAATAAAAATATTTTTTATATCGTGAACAATTTTACGCAAAAGAAGAAAGTAATTTTTATATCTAAAAAAAAAAATACATAACGTTTTGATTAAAAAATTTAACATGTTAAGAGTGTGTATATATTTATATATTGTTTAGAAATTTAGAAAATTAATAATGCACACAGTTTAAAAAAAATACACGACATTTCTTGGATATTTTTGTTTATTAAAATTTTTCTTCATCAGTAGTATATCACGTGAGAATATAAATATTTATAACAAATTTTGAATATTTGAAAGATAAATTAAACTCATCTGGTCATTAATACATAACAACTTACATTTATAGATATGTTTCTTTTCACATTAATCAGCAAATTCGATTTTTTTAAAAAATCTAATAATTGAGTAGTATTCAATATGTTATCCTCATTTTAGTTTAAT